TATCCTCTTCCTCTCCACCTATTTAAGTATCCTCTTCCTCTCCACCTATTTAAGTATCCTCTTCCTCTCCACCTAGTTAAGCCTCCTCCCATCCTCTTCCTCTCCACCTATTTAAGTATCCTCTTCCTCTCCACCTATTTAAGTATCCTCCCATCCTCTTCGCTTTGTGTATATGTGGTTGTTACATGGAGCAAAGATACTCGCAGATTCTTGTGGTTCTTTTTTTTTCTGATTGGGAACTGCAGAGATAATTCAAGAAACATTCGTTTCCACTTCTAAAGAGAGCAGCAAATCGTTTCTCGTTTTGAGAGAAGCAGAATTCGTTTTTCTGTTTCTTCTGTCGTCTACTTATAGTGAGTTACCTTCTCTTAACCTTTAAATACAGTGTGTTATACTTTTCTTCTCAAACTTCATCGTCGTGCAATACTCCTCTTGAATCTAAGTTTCAAATGGACAGCAACTGCCTGTTGCAGAAACCTACAAATGTAGAGGACGACGTTTCGAAAGTCTTTCTTCGCCCCCCAGTGGCACAGCGGTATGTCTGCGGACTTACAACGCTAGAATACGGGTTTAGATACCTGTCATGGGCAGAGCACAGATAGCCCATTGTGTAACTTTTTGCTTAATCACAAACAATCGTCTTTCTTCAATTAATAAAGCGTATTTTTTTTGCTTGAACTTCACAACAAATCTTGGCTCTTTCTTTCCATTGCTAAAAATCACTACACCTGTCCTTATGGCTTGATGTTTACACCTGTCCTTATGGCCTGATGTTTAAAGCGCTCGACTCACAGATTGCGCGTTCGAATCCCATAACCAAGCATTCTCGCCCTTATAGCCATGGGGGACGTTATAATGGTACGATCAATATCACTATTCGATTAGAGTACTGTAGCCCAAGACTTGGTGGTGTTGACTAGTCAACACCACCAACTACCTGCTTTCCCTCTAGTCTATCACTTCTCAACTAGGGACGGCTAACGCATACAGCCCTCGAGTAGTTATGCACGATATTCAACAAACACTTGTTCTTATGCTTAGTAATTCCACGAATCTCTATTGTTGCGGAGATTAAGTAACTGTGTGCCTTGTATAACCCTAAATTTGAATTACTACAGGTTTCTGCACGTGTCGTTCCAAGCTGCTGCTTAACAACATTTATAATTAAGGTACTTAGCTTCTCTTACTGTAAAAATGTAAAATTTAAAAAGAACGATTCAAATTATCATACAGCATCACTGTAGTCATCTTTAAAAAATGTTTGTATAATTTTGTATTTAAATCACCATACATCGGATGAAGGCCAGTTTGTAAAAAAAAAAAAAAAAAAACTTCAAATACTGTGAAACGTTTCAGAGAATGACTTACAAGATAGGATACCCAGTTCTGAATACTTGAAATGTTTAAATATTTTTCCTGTCCCAACAATGTTTAGTAGAAGGTCTAAAGGTCTTACACATTCTTGAAAGCACTATTAAATATTGAAAGTGGAATAAACTTCGCCCCCCCCCCCATCAGTGGCACAGCGGCATGTCTGCGGACTTACAACGCTAGAAACCGGGTTTCGATACCCGTGGTGGGCAGAGCACAGATAGCCCATTGTGTAGCTTTGTGCTTAACTGCAAACAAACAATCGCTTTGTCAGATGAGACTACGACACAATACAAACACAACAGATTTTTTTCGCTTTGCTCGAGATTGACAGGTAAAATTATCAGATAGCCTTCTATCATCAATGTATATATATATTTCATTAAATTGACAAATGCTACTACATGATCAGGCTTGACGTCGTTGTTTGTTTAAATAATTTTTGAGTTTTCTTATTTTGCAAACCAAGTTCAGTATTTCACGATATGCCAAGTATTTCTTTAAGACAAATACAAGTAGCCAAACATCAAATTTTATTTTTCAGACGGTAACAAGGTAAATATAACAAAATATTTAATGTCAAAAAACAAAAGTTATCTAAGTATTGCCTCATCGAAAAACAATTTTTAAGAAAACATTTTAAAAAGCTGCGCCTACAAATCTCGGTAGTTATGGAAACTTTGTTAACTGCATAAGGAAACAAAGGATTCATCCTGGCGTTTAAATCTACATTTGCTTTAAATATTTGTGCCATAGATAAATGGCAAAGGGCTTGTGAGCATATATCTATGGCCTTCAAAATTGTGAAAAAAATATATACATAAGTACAAAACAAAAATGTTATACTCTGACTACTTTTCTTACAAATCACACAAACTAAAACTATTGAAATCAAAAACTCAACCTATATAACACATTTATAATATTAGAAAATAAATGTTATAAACGAGAAAAACATTGTGAATCGTAATTTTAATAACTGTTCAAATTGGCACATCCAGATAATGGTGGTATATATATATATGAATGCCCTTAAACGAGACGAGCATGTATATTGCTTGCTGGAAAACAATTTGTCAACATATAATCATGCTATTGGCTAAGAATTAGTAACGTTTCGATAGGTCAAACAATAGTTTTTATGCAATGATATTACTAAAGATATATGTCTTAACTATATGTACTACACGTGGTACGTATTTTAAGTACGGCTATTGTGTAAATAAACTTTCATGATCCAGCCATGAAAAGTAAGAACAAAATAAACTAATCGAAAAAAGTTAACATATGTAGAACAAATAATTATTCTACTATTTCAACACTTACATATTGATTGAGTAAAAAGTAATTATGATCCTTCCCAATTATTAGGATTAAATTACAAGAGCTTGAACAGGATAAGAAATATATCAAGTATTATGTCACGTGAACATCCAGTTCTTATAAGTCACGCTAATAAAACTTTTGCATATTAGGAAGACTCAGATTTTCACAGATTAATAATGGCTTCACCAAGAAAATCACTAAAGCCATCATAGAATACTCTGAAAAACACAAAATGGAAGGAAAATCTGGGACATTCCATAGGAAAAATTTCCTTCGTGACTTACAGGACAGTGACCCAAAGTTCACTGTGCAGTCAAGGATAAGACATACCACAACACTTCATATTCATGAAGATTGCCTATCCAGGTAAATACACGAAATACACAATTAAAGTATAAAAGTTTGGTGAACACAAACTGAAAGTCGAAAATCAGACTTTTATACCTTGTCACGAACATCAAATCACAAATAAAATCAAGGCGTAAATGTCTGGCGAATCACCATTCGTTAATTTATATTTATTGATTTAAATCTGTTGGCTGACTTTACACTGGGGGAGGTCCATGTGGATAATGTAGCATGAGCTCCATTGATTGGCCGTAGTTATTGATTAGTGCGCAGGTCAGTTGGTCTTCTGATTTGGGGAAAAGACTCGCTAGTCCGAAACCTACGAGAAGGAACAGTTGGAGAGGAAGTGATTTCCAAAACATGTCGGACAAGCGTTGTCGGATGCTTCTGTTCTGTAAATCTTGGTTTTCGTCTTCTAAGAGATTGCTGTAAATAAATGAAAAAATAAAAACTCTACAGAAATTAAAATTCGAAAAAAAAGAAGTATATCTAGAGAAATATACATGAAATTTATAGCATAAAAACTTGTAGTTTGAAGTTCTGAATCACTATTACGTTAAAATTCGGGTTTCGATCCCTGCAGTGGGTCCGGCACGGCTAGTTATGAATAATCAATATAGCAAAAAACGTCCATTATAAAGGCACGAAAACTAAAAGAAACCCTTGCAATAATAAAACAGTTTAATAACAACTTTTAAAAAAGTAGAACAGTTTTATTTCTGCATTTATATTCATTTTCTAATATTAATTTCTGCTCCATAAAGTTTATCTCATTTTCTAAAAAGCATGATCATTATTTATACAATAAGACTTAGATTTTTTAATATATTTCAAACATTTTTAAGTCATGATTTGTACACAAATAAATACTTGTACATCTAACTCACTTACCTCGTTTCGTTACTTAGATCCAAAGTGCTGGCCCTTGCGTTTGATAGATCTTGAAAAATTATCTGAAACGTTATCAAAACAATAAGGAGTTTGTAATAAAAAAAAAGGCCACTAATTTACCAAGCAGCGCACCGAAATATAACATATAGTAAATATAAGACACCAAAGTATCAACAATTTTAGTTTCTTAATTGAAGGGAAAATAATTAAAATAAATCATATAAGTGCACGAATTTGTAAAGGTATGTATGTTGTACTTGTAGAAACGGCATCTTCGTGCTATTTTTTAGCAAGCACGTGTCTATGAATATGTTTATACCCTTCAATATCACTAGGTCAACTTACGCTAAATTTGCAACCTTGAAACTAAATACATTGCATTGGTCCATGAAACTAGAGGGAGTGTAATATGATAAACATGGGCGTCCGCAGAATGGGGCAAAGGGGCATTTACTTCAAACCCTGAAATTTCAGAAGAGCATTTATTTGAATAATTCACTTAAAAGTATTATAAAATAATATTATTCACATATAAATAACGAAATTTAGGTGTACAAAAAGAAGCCATAGGTAGCCAGGGCCCCGCATTTATACTTCCAGGCGACGGCCTGTGCTTTGAGATGACTTCCATTTCACTCATCAAATATAAGTTTGCTGGTGAACACCGTTTCGTTCATTTCCAAATGCTAATAAGATTTACAATACCACAGAACAATGTTTACAAGCATCTGAGTTTCAAATGTTTCAGGAAGAGCCTCCCCTCCCCCATCCCGCGAACAATGACTTCACCGCGTTCGTAGATTGTTGGCTTGCCCCCACCTGGAATAAATTCTGCAGGCGTCCATAAGATAGATAATTTGTATAACTAGCAGTCGTGTTCTAACATCAACCGTTGCGCTAATTTCTTCACTTTAGGATTTGTTTTCAAAACTAAAATGATACAACGCTTGACATCTATCATTAAATGGTATTCATTGTTTGGCCATATTGGATACTTTGTGAGCAAAAAAAGAAAAAAACTAATTCCACAATAATATCTATGTTAAATTGAGATATTTAAAGTTTGTACTACGTTCAAAAGAAGTAAAATATTTCTAATTGATTTAGATACAATAGAAGCTTACCATTTGTGGATTACTTTTATCTTTCAATTTATCCTCCAATTGCCAAATGAGTCTGTTACAGTTGTCTCGTGACGCAGTAACTCGTGCCATCATATCCTCTATCTTTTGTTGTAACAAATCAATTTCGTTATTTGCGTCCCACGGTAACTCATCATCTATATTACTCGTTTTTAAAGTGTTGTATTCGTCAGTCAGTAAGATGATGTTCTGTTGGGCACGATGCATCATTGACTCATATTTTTCTAAATCTTGGTGGATATCCTACGTGACAAAGGAATGCTAAAGTCAATCAGAAGCAGAATGAGTGTTTATAGTTAAATATTGCTTCCGGCGATTTAGCGTTGTAAAATAAAGATATCTAATAACTTCGCAAAGCTATTAAGCTTATACCCTATAATCAAATTATCCATCATATTGAACTATTTATGTAGGGCAACTATTAATCGAATAATGTTTATTACAGGATTAACTTACCATATATTTTCTATACATGTGTGAAATCAACTCATCATCATATTCTGATTCCATAAGATGTATTTCTGCAAGCTTAATTTCTGTTTTCTTTAATCTTTCTAATACTTCTTCCAGCTCCCTCCAAACCTCTTGGATATTTTCCAGTTCGATTTGATTAGAGGCCTCCTTTGAAAACATGAATTATAATACACTCTATAATAAAACTATTACAGAATCATTCAACTGTTTCGAACATTATCAGTTAAGTAGACACAAAACAATGCAGTGATTACGTTTCCTTAAAGTTGTTCCTTATTCAAATACTGAACAAAGAAAAGAAGTCAAACATACTGTTGGTGTGAACGTACTTTGTAGTCACTATGAAGAAAACCTATACACTGGATAGGTGAAAAAAAAAAGAAACAAAGCACGTTCACACCAACAGTATTTTTGATACTTTTCACTATGATTTTGGTCCAGCTTATCTCTCTTTGGTTAACTTGTGTTCCGGGTTACTGATGAGGAGCGAAATTCTCCGAAACTAGTACAACCCAATAACACACGTTGATCAAAGCGTAGATTGAACTGGACCTCCCTTGAACTTGGACTTCGAAATCAAACAATTTTCGGAATACTAAGTTGATTTATTAACGAACAGGGGGTACTTATAACGGTAGCAACACAAATCGTTATCATATTTCATATATATAAGTTATATCCTGTCTGTCAAGTCAGGGTACATTTTCTGTCTGAACAGTAATAAACAAGCGAAATACGACCAATTATAAATATAAATTGAAGGTGCTGTCAGCGTTACTTACCTTTGTTTGGCGTGCCTCTTGTTGGTTCTGGAAGGCTTTTGATTCTGGTAAAGCTGTTTGCTCCGCAACAAGAAACGGTAACGTTACTTCTTTCATATTCGATGGAATTTCTTTAATTTCACATAACGAGTTTCTTTCTTCTTCAAACGGTATATTAGGTGACTCTTCTGCTATATTGCAACCTAAATATAATTCATTTTCTGGTGAACATAATCTTGTGTTTTGTTTATCTGGAGAAGTTACCGGGGATAAACACCTTGATGTTTCTAAATGCTCATTTTCACAACTATAGGAAACAACTTCATCAACGCGAACACAAATATTGGGTGGTTTTATTGTTTCCGTTCTTTTCGTAACATTTTCATTTGCTTGAGCAATATGGATAGCTTGTGTCACAATATTTTCAACTACAGAAGTAATAAATTTTTCAGTCGTTGTTTCTACTGTATCTCGAGGACTAGGAGCGTCTTTCTTTGGTTCGCACGAATGTTCTATTTCAATAAATTTGTGCTCACTAGAATCTAGATCTTCATCTACTAAAGCAAAGCCCAGTCTTTCGCTGTTTGTTGCCTCAGTATGAAAATAAGTTTCTAACTCTTTTCTAAAACTTTCGTATTTACTAACTGAGCATTGGTCTGCCTGTTTAAACGTGTGTTGTCCGGAAATATCATCAACTGTCTGCATAATGGTAGTGACTGTTTCTCGTGGTGTGCCATGATCTGAAAAAATAACATCCTTTTCTACTCCAGTCGTAACTACTGGATTTTCAGCCTGATTTGTAAGAACACCACTGTTGTTTGAAATGTGATTTTTATATTCCTCTAAAAGATGTAATTGGCTTTCATTCTGTTCCACAAGATGATCTTCATAAGATATTACATTCTCATTAACTTGAAATTCATGCCCTCGTTCTTGAATTTGATCTGAAAAGATAACGTTCTCACAAGAAGCAGTAATATCTCCAATTCCAAAAGTAAATGATGGCTGTTCAAACTGTTTTTCATTGAACTTATCGTCAAAAGATTTAATATTTTGATTAAATATGGAAGAACATGAATGTTCTTCAATTGCATCGGTGACAGCATTATCACCAAAACATATTTTATTATCATCTGTTGAAAAGTTGGGCGATGATAAATCGATATGGGATTCTTCTTCAACAGACTTGACAGTTGGCTCCACATCAACCTGTTCTGTAAAACCCCGACTCTTGCAAAAACTAAAATCTTCTTCATCATAAATATACTCTGTAAGATATTGGTTCTTACGATTACTAAAACCTTCGTCTGCAGAAGAGGTATATAGTTTCTCATCAATATATTCTGTAGAATCCTGGTGATTATAAATATTCAAATCCTCTTCTACAGAAGATACGCGTACTTCCTCATTGATGCGTTCTGTTGAATCATGGTTCTTATAATAATTGAAATTTTCTTCTACAGAAGAGACAGGTAGCTCCTCTTCAATATGCTCTGTAGAATCCTGACTCTTATAAAAAGTGGAATCCTCTTCAGGCTCTCTAACAGAAGAGAAGGGCAACTCCTCTTCAATATGCTCTATAGGATCCTTACTCTTATAAAAAGTGCAATCCTCTTCAGGCTCTCTTACAGAAGAGAAGGGCAACTCCTCTTACAATATGTTCTGTAGGATCCGT